CCCCCCTTCAACTTGATTTTCATCTTGGGGAAGAGAAAGAAGTCGCATGGAGCTAAGTCTGGCGAGTACGGTGGGTGGGGAACAACTGCCATCTTGTTTTTAGCCAAAAATTCCTGCACAATGTAAGCCGTATGTGGTCGTGCCTTGTCATGGTGGAGTACCCAGTCGTTCGTGCGCCACTTCTCTGGACGTTTTCTCCTCATGTCCTCCCTCAAACACCTTAGAACATCACGATAGAACTCTTTATTGAGTGTCTGACCAGGAGGGACGAACTCCTTATGAACAATCCTGTCAATATAAAAAAACAGATCAACATGGACTTAATTTTGCTCTTGACTTGTCGAGCTTTTTTTGGCCGAGGTGAAGAAGGGCTCTTCCATTGCGACGATTGCTGCTTGCTTTCAAGGTCATAGCCATAAACCCAACTTTCATCACCAGTGACAACCTTCGAAAGAAAGTTTGGATCCTCTTGAAGCTGTTGCTGAAGTTCCCTGCAGACTTCCAAGCGATGCTGCTTCTGTTCATTTTGCAGCAGTCGTGGCACAAACTTCGCTGCAATCCTCCTCATGTTCAGTTCCTCTGACAGAATTCGTTGACATGTACCATAACTTAGTCCCAAGGTGTTACAGAGGTCTTGGATGGTCAGTCTGCGATCTTGCAGAAGCTTGCTTCAACATTTGGTGCCTTTCTGCAGCGGTTTTCCCAAGTTTGAAACAAAACTTTATACAGACACGCTGCTCTCTCAGGTCAGCCATCGCAAAACGGCAAACTCACAGAAACACAACAATGGAAATACGTTCACCAACAATAAACCCAACCACTCAACTTGATGCTGCTTGCCACACTGATTCAAGAAGGATGTGTGAGGAGACACCTAGCGGTATTTCGATGTACTCATAACCATTCGCGCACAAAATTCAAATTTCGGAAACTTTTGGATTGCCCCACATATGTTTTTAGCCTTAACTATCCATTGAAACTAACTTTTATGTAAACAAATATGTTATATTTAAGCATTGCTATACTTACATGGCTTTCAACTTACACAGAAACCTTTTGAAGAACTTAACCATGTTAGCTGGTGATTTACTGTATCTGCCTACAAGAGTACATAGTGTCACAATCCAGAAGACCTCAATATGGACATGGAAGTTGCATGTGATATGCTTGCAATGTTGGTAAATTTTATTTCATTGGCAATATTTAAGACTTTGAGTCTGTGAAACTGATTACAAATATCGCCCAAGGTAACTGCATTGTTATTCATGAAATCATGGCAGGATATATCTTCATTTAAACTTTTGTGCAACTCAAAATACACTACTGTGAAAGCACGTTACATCATTTTAAGCATTTCTATGCCTATTTTGCCCAAGTGCACACAACTGTCTCATGCCTTTGTTCTACCCATAAATCTGTAATGGATTTTCCAATCACTGCTTCATTCTATAATCCTCTTGTGCCTTACATTGATGCTGGATTTGTCAAGAATTATCTCATTCTGTACTCCTACTGTACCTAGAAATTGGTGATGGTTTCGCCAACCTGCCTAGAAATCGGTGGTGGGTTTGCGAAGTACTGCTTCAGTCTTTACTCTGCTGTATATAGGTATTGTTGATTGGTTTGACAAGGACTACTACATGCTGTAATTCTGCTGTCTCCATAAATGGATGGTGAGCAATCACTGCTTCATTCTGTAGTCATACTCCGCCTGTGATTCGGTGATGGATTTAGTTAGTTTCAATACCTTGTGCGTTATTCATTGTTTAGGTTTTATACTAAGAGCTCAGTACACTGAAAACTGACTCTGTTTCCACCTTTAGATGAAAGGGGGACTGAACATAAAGGACCTATAGAAAAGAACTAGTCTCAATCATTGATCCTATTTTACCTGTTACTCTGTAATGGGTTTTCCACCCTCTGTTTCATTCTGTAATTCTTCTGTGCTGGTAAATCTGTGATGTATTTCTCAGCCACTACTACATTTTATAAGTCCAGCAGACAAACTGATAAAAATATGACAAGCATTAATAGCCAAGAAATGTATGGTGACAGGTTAAATGTATAAGAAAGCACTGACAAAATTCTGAAGAAAGGAGGTAAGTTCAGTTATATTCTGGTTTATGACTCATGTACTGAAAATGCTGGGTACAGTCATTAAAGGCTGATAAGTTTGGTATAAGCTTGCTCATCTGTGGGACTGACTCATATTCAGATGGGCTGGCTCATGAAGTTATTGTGGTTCTTGTGTGGAGAAATGTCCCTTTAATCAGATCCGCACATTTCTTTCTAAGAGATCTATAAGGATGCCCATGCATCATTTCACACCTGCACATGCATAGCAGACAGACACACAAATATACACCTTGCAAGTAGAAAATCCCCTTTTTATATTACATTTGTTCACATGAATTCAAGTGGATACCAGTTTCAAGATTCATGATTAAGGGAGATTTCCTTGTATGAAGCTAGCAGTGGAATTCAGTTTCTAGAGCTTAGAAGTATGGTAAAGTTGCAGATTGGCTAATCCTGGAATTCAGAATAAACTTAATTCATTAGAGAGAAAGGGAGAGGGAGAGAGAGATAGACAGACAGGCACTCACTCACACACTCACTCACTCACTGTCTCTTCCCTATGTAACAGTATTTATTCTCCATACAGAAGGTCCTAATTTGGTTTTTATGGGATACAGTAATGTTGAAATGTATGAAATTGAAGAATGAACACAGTTTCAAAATAAAGACAAATGGCTTATTGTGATTCATATGCAGAGAACCTGTAGGAAGACCTCTTTCACGTGATGATGCTGTCAGTCGTCCAGGTATATCCCCACGACTGCCAACATCAGCTCCTGCTCCTCCATTATCTACTGCTGCGATGAGCATTGATGATTCACATGGCTCAGAAGCAGCACTGGATCTACGCCATGGTGGCTCTAGGGAGTCCCCAGCACCTACGTCTGCAGGTAACTTTCAGCAGCCATAGTTAAGATTTTTAAATCAAGACTATTAGGGCTATATGTAGGCAAGATAAATAGCTCTTTCTGAAAATGCTTTGAACAAGTAGTTTCTTCTATATTTTTCCATTAGTTGTTGCATGTAGCTGTTTTTTTTTGCATTTTTTAAACCTACTTTCATTATTTTGAATAAATGGAAGTAGGCTTATGTGATCTCCATGCTGTGTGTATGTCTTTGTGTCTGTAAATCCCCCCCTCATTAACTTTTGAATGCCTGAAGCAATCTTTATGAAATTTGGTATGTATACCATAGCACCTCAGTCCATCTTATTAACAGTGTACTTCATAAATCCCTCTCATTGGTCTGTGTTTCTGTATGTGTATCCCTTCTTCCATTGCTAGGCAAAGGTTCAGTAAAATGTATCCCTTCTTTCATTTCTAGGCAATGGATTGGTAAACACATACCCATGGCAATGAATACACACACAAAAATAGACTAATAAATAGGACCCATGCATCTGTGGGTCTGTCTGTGTATCCCCCTATCATAGCCACGTAACAGCTCAGTAAAGACATTCCCATGGCAACGAAGAATTGTTGGAGGTGTCATTTTCTCTGCAGTCCATGTCAAATCAAAGGAAAGTAGGCAGTTAGTTCTTCCCAGAACTCCTTGTTTGGACGTATGTAGATCGTTTGTTGTGAAATACTGCCATCTGCTAGGGTACTGCAAAAAATTGCAGACTGAGAGGTAAGCCAGCAGCAAAGGTGCTGGGTGTGAGAATACTAAACTATATCAGTACCAGATGTAAAAATAAAATATAAAATTTTTGCAGTTTCCAACATGCATAAATAGTTATCAGACTAGCTTCTACAAGGTCCAGCTAGTAGCTATGCTTAGCATAGGTTTCCAACAAAACTCGTCTCCTACTGCTAGCATTCCATCCATGGGCAAAACAAAGAAAGTCCTCTCCAAGATGAAAGCTTTAACTATGGCTCTTTTTGAATAATTAGGCAGAATAGTGAAGGGAGAGAGATGGCCATAGCTAGGGAGTGGCTCAGTAAACATGCTCCTGTAGTGACAGATATGCACACGACAATGGAGGAACTGTTTCCTGTGTGGTCCCTGCTGAAGCTATATGTTGAGGACCATTGGGAAAAGTTAGTCAGCAAAATGTAAGATATGAGGCTTTCACGGCGGTGACTATGAAGAAAGCAGTCTTCTGGGATTTGGCACGGTCTCTTCGCTTGCGGATTTCTTATATTTTTCCTTCTGCCCTGAAGATGGAGGTGATACATTCCTCCGAAACATCGGTTAACACCACATATACACGGTGCCAAATCCCAGAAGACTGCTTTCTTCATAGTCAGCAAGAGTTTGCATGACTTTTACTGACTGACTGCTAAATGTCTGCTGGTATTTGCATGCACATTGATAATTGGTTTCAAGTCCAGCAGGACTCATGACCATATTTTAATGTCTGATGGCTCTGGAAGCCTTTGGAACTTGCACCTGACTTTGCATGACTCCCAGAGGTGAGTGAGAGTAAAATATGTTCGTAATTCCTTGAGACTCGGAACAAAGAATGACTATGCTGGCAAGAACCAGCAGCAGTTTACGTGACTGACTGACCAAGTTATTTAGTCATGAGCCAGATGTTGACAGTCGAAAGTTGGGGGCCGGAGTCGGCATTTGAGAGTCTTTAATTGCATTGTTAGGCTCTTCTACCAAGCAATGACTAGTGAAGACATAGCAGACTTCAAATACTTGGTGTTAGCAGTTTTGATTTGCAGAGTTTGTAGATTATTGGGAGAGTTATAATTATTTGTAGTTATGAGTCATAAGGCCAGTTATCAAACTGAACCCCCGTGTCTTGTCACTGGCATGTGAGTATGTTCAGGTGGCCCTGTTTGTATTTGAATCATTCCTAGTTCTTCAGTTAGCCAGGTCTCGCTGAGAATTTCAGGAGGCAGACTTTTTCCTCAGAATTGTCTATAGAAGTCAAACAATAAGCTTGAACTGAATTTCCCTCTTCTACAAAGGTGAAAGGCCAATCATAGTGGCCACGCAATCTAAGACATGAACTGTCTTAGCCCGCTCAAACGCAAGGGTTGTGGGTTTGAATCCCACTTGAGGGGTGGATGTCCGTGTGCATTTATTCTGTGTTTGTGTTCTGTATGTAGGTAGCGGCCTTGTGAAGGGCTGATCCCCTGTCCAAGGAGTCCTACCAACTGTGTGTTGGATTAAGAAACTGAAAAAACAGCAATGGTTCAAAGGGCTGTAGAGCTGTAGTGAGAGATGAAAAGAACAGTGAAGGAGTTCATTAGAACAATGGAATGTGACATTAGACACACTTCTTGAGATGTAAGTTCCAGATGACTTCTTGGGAAGGAATTACAGGGGTCAGGAAGTGTTGTTTGTCTGGTACCTTCAGATGTGGCCTTTATTGGCCTTTCTGGGGTGTCCCCACTGTTGCAAGAGCATAGAATCCATTTCAAAAAGGGGGGCACCCGTAAGGCAGATTCTGTTGAACTGGAATACTCGTAATATTGTAATTATGAGAGTGATGTTTGACAGAGGGTATCTACAGTGTGGGGGGGGGGCATGCAGTAGCATAGTTGGTTGAGGCACTGTGCTAGAAGCCTGAACATCGCGGGTTCGACTCTTATTGAGGTCATCAGGTTTGTCAATTAACGTAATTTTTCCAGCCACACTATGGCCCTGAGGTTGAGTCAGCCTCTAGCAGAAATGAGTACCAAGAATCTTCCTGGGTATAAAGGGTGGGTGACTGATGTGTAAGGCTGACAACCTCGCCACCATCTGTGAGCTAATTGTCCAGAAAATTTGGGAGCTTCGACATCTCACAACTCTTTGGGCCTCCATGTTCCTGTCACAGGAATAACTTTACCTTATTTACCTACAGCGTATTGGATGTAAATACATTATTTTCAAAAGAGTTTTTGCTCCGATAATTATTTAGCATATCAATCTTGAGATGCATGTAGGTATTCATATGAACTGCCTTTTATTGTTATCTGATCTTAAATGAAATTTAAATGTGTTGCAGGCTCTCTGATATAAAATTTTACGAAAATCTTTTCAGTGGTTCTTGGGATGTTGTATGTGCACTGACAGGCATACTGACATTACAAAGCTGATAGATATATTTTAACATCCTTTCAAAACAAATTTGCCACAGATGAATTTGGGAGGAATGAAAGTAGTGGTGAACATATGTCACCTGAGATAGGAACAGAGAAAACCCTTGAAATGTGTACAGGAATCCACTGCCAATTGCAGGTGTTAAATTCTTGAAAAACACCACTTTTGGTAAGACGTAGGACTTGTGAGAAGTTGAGGGTTAGGGATACCAAACTAACATTCTTCAGAGTCTAAGTTGCCTGTTTCTTCATATATCACAAAAATATTTGTATTTGGGATGATCTAGAAGCTATGAAACTGTTTCATATACCTTTAAAGCCATGGCTCTGGTAAATGCGGATGTCTTGATGTGGAAATTGCAGGTTTTATTTAGTGTATAAGAAAGCATTGCACACATATACTGAAATACTGTGGTTTAAAAACTGGATAGAGATTGAAAACTGCAGGTACTTGAAACTCATGGTTTTCTTAACCACGGTTAGTGAGGAATTGTTGTGTCCAAAATAATTTTCATGTAATTGTCCTTTGTCTGAATACAGAGATACGTAGTATTTCTGGAGCAGACTTCGTAGATTGCCAGATAAAATTAAAAAAGTTTGAATGGTAAATATATGCTTTATGTAAGACCTCAGAATTCTTTTATTTGGAAATGGAGACGGAGTCATACTTGGAAATGTCGTGTATAAATAATTTTATTTACCATCTCAGAATCTTTTTACTTAAGATGGAGACAGAACCAGCCCTGAAAATGTCTCATATACAAATATGTATGTTGTTTATCCAGACAGTAGGTAGCAGACAGAGACTACTCCCAAGAGAATAGTCAGCGATTGTCATAAACCTGAACCACATTCAGTGATTGACATTTAACATTATCCATTTCCTGCTTTTATTTAAAACAACATTTCAGAGACTGGACTCTGCCCACATCCTCAGGTAAAAAAGCCTACTCAGTTGGGTCCAGTTGATAGACCTAGGTCTGGAGTTAGGGACTAGCTATATCGATTGGCCCAACTGAATAGACTTTTTGCCTGAGGATGGAGACAGAGTCTAATCTGCGAGATGTTTTAAATAAAAATAGGATGATGAATAATACCCAGAAAATCAATCATTGTATTAATACATTATTGTCACAGACTTTTAGATCTTACTTACTGAACCACACTATTTGGATTCTTGTATGTTTTGTAATATTGACTTTTATATTTTTGCAGGTGGTTATGCGGCAAGTGGTAGTGGTAGCAGTGTGACAGGTGCAGATATTTTAGATCTGAGTATGCCAGACAAGAATTCAGCCACAGAAGTGTGCTATGTCTGTGGTGACGAATATAAACGGGGCTCACTAAGTCATATTGCAGCCAAGCCTCTTCCCTCCACTCAGTCTCTTTCGTCTTCTCCGCCACCTTTCTTTCCATCTCTTATGCTGCATCCACGGCCGGGGCGATCACGTCCCATGGATTCAGCTGGACGGGTTAGTTAACGCTTCTGTCACATAATGGTATAAGTAAATATAGTTTAAGTAGATAAACTGTTTTTATTCTTTAATTTGAAGAGATATCTTAGATTATTGTTCCACTTCAAATTATGCCTGTTTTTCAGTTGCTGTAGTTGATGACTTACACACCTAAAACATTTGTATTTAGAAATGATCCCTTTTACCTCACTGCCATTTGTTAACCGATTGTCTGGAAAATGTGGGAGCCTCAATGTCTCATAACCCAGTGGCCCTCCATGGCCTGCGACCTTTTGCTGAACCCTTTTACTTTTTGTGTAGGCCCATGCAGCCATGTGTATATAACTTGGCAGCAGTGTGAGTGATCATCTGTTTTCATCGTTTCATCGTTAAGTTTAAATTGTTTGAATATGCAGACAGAAAATTGAGCCGAGCATCAGGAAAAGTATTTGATGCCCATGAGAAAGTGTGAGAGGTTATAGACACTGGAATCGCCATGTCTGGCTAGTCCTGTTTAGGTCTGAAAAGGAAATTCTCCCTGAGGCGGAAGCTGCTTAATTAACCATCTCCATGGACTTTTAAACAAATAATGTCTTGCAATAAAGCTGTTAGCTTAAAGCTCGTCTTATCATGGGTAGTGCATAAATTCTGAAGATGGAGTTTGAAAATATTGAAGAAGGTGATAATAAGGCCGGTGTATGCAGTCATGTTTTTCATATGACATGTTTTATTTAGTTCACATGATGTTTGATTTCAGGATTATTTTAAAGTAACAAGTTAAAATTAAGTGATACAAACTACTGTAGAGAGGAATATTTGCAGTAGCTATATTTGAAATTTTGTTTGTTGATACACTATTATGCTACACTGAAAATTTAACTGTGTAGTAAATCTTACAGATTTTACTTAGTTATATGAATACCATATTTGCAAGACTGCTAAAATTGTTTACCCATTTTGTTTTTTAAAAATGATTCTCTTCCAGCAGAAGCCCATTTATTTCTTGGTTATTTAATTACACTGTTTTGGTATTGAGACTATGTAGTGTCGGATGGTAGGTTGATAGATGAACGATGAATTGGAAAGGACTTGAAAGTAAACAGTCATGGCCTAATTGAGGTGCTACCCCAGTATTTGCCTGGAGGGACTTAGGAAAACCATGAAAGACCTCAATTAGGATAGCTGGTGTCCCAGGAAAGATTCAGACTGAGCACCACCAAAATGTAACCAATTCATAATAATGCAGTGAGAGGTTAATAGAGTGAATTAACAAAAATGTCAGATTTACAAAATGTTTTTCAAGTAAGCCTGTTTGCTTTGTAAATATATGTTAAGGGCTTTGTAGAAACATCAGTTTAAGGTGACACAGGAATTATCAGTGGGCATAATTAGCTTAATTATGCTTAGGGTTTCCTTTTTTTTTTTTCTGTGGTGCTACAGCCCCTATTTGGACCTAGGCCTACCTCCATGAAACTCTCCGTTTCACTTCGGTTTACTAGATCTTACACATTCGGTAGGACTCCTTGGGCGAGTGATCAGCTCGTCGCAAGGCCTCTACCTGTAAACAAACACAGAAAAACGCACACAAACATCCATGCCCTGAGTGGGATTCGAACCCACGATTCTGGCTTCCGAGCGAGCGAAGACAGTGCATGCCTTAGACCGCTCAGCTACCGTGACCGGCTATGCTTAGGATTATTCAGGGTTATTCAAAAAGAATGAACCGATTTCATGACACATTGCTCCAGTTCTCAAGCATTGTCATGGAATGAGTCAGTGACCATTTGAAAGAGGAGTTATCTAAGTTGTGAAGGGCTGCCACAGGGGCGCTGAAGTCGCATCGTTCTTCCGGCAACGTTCAGTTGTTCGTTTACCCTCGGAATGGTGAGTCCTCAGCAAAAGGCGTTCTGCGTTCTCGAGTTCACGAAAACAGATTCGGTTGTCACGGTGCAGCGTGCTTTTCGAAGGTGATTCGGCATTAATCCACCCTCTCCTAAGAACATTTGACGGTGGTTTCGACAGTTTCAAGAGAGTGGGTGTCTGTGTAAAGGAAAAAGTCCAGGACGACGATGAGTCTTGGAGGAACAAGTGGCGAGAATCCGTGCTGCGTTTGAGAGGAGTCCGCGGAAGTCAACAAATCAAGCTAGCTGTGAGCTTGCGATCCCTCAATGCACTGTCTGGCGTGTGCTAACAGTACGTCTACATTTGAAACCATACAGACTGCAGCTCGTTCAGGCACTTACCAATGATGACAAAAGGAAGCGGGTGGAATTTTGCGATTCGATGCTGGAGATGATGGAAGACGAAACCTTCATTTCACGTTTAATTTTTAGTGATGAAGCGACTTTTTACTTGAGCGGCACAGTCAATCATCACAATGTGCATATTTGGGGAACAGAGCACCCACATGAAACAGTTCAGCATGAAAGAGATTCCCCTAAGGTGAACGTTTTATGGTTTATGGTCCCTTTTTCTTTGAAGGAAACACCGTTACAGGACAAACCTGTCTCGATATGCTCCAAAACTGGCTCTTCACTTCACTGCAAGCAGATTCGCATGACTTCATTTTTCAAGAAGACCGAGCACCGCCCCATTGGCACCTGATGGTCTGAGCTTTTTTAAATGAAAAAGTGCTGCAGCGATGGATTGGTCGGAAGGGGTCCCAAGACCTTGCTCTTTGTGCTTGGCCTGCAAGATCCCCAGACCTCACCGTGTGTGATTTCTTCTTGTGGGGATATATAAACGATCACGTTTATGTTCCACCACTACCCACTAACCTCAGTGACCTTAAACATTGAATAACAACAGCGATTAACTCAGTGCATCGTGATATGCTGATATGCACCTGGGAGGAATTCTCTTATCGCATTGATGTTGCCTGTTCTGCAGGTGATGGCCACATTGAACACTTGTAAGGCAGGAAATAAAAGTTGATTGTGAGTAGAATACTTGTGACTTGGCTGGAGTTTTGTATTACTTTCCTTTAATAAAATATTGCTTAATAAAATCGGTTCATTCTTTTTTAATAACCCTGTATAATGAACAGGAAATGGAGGTGTTCTCCACCCCTCCTTAATGTCAGCACTAGATGGAGGTGGGTTGTACCCAAGGGAAGAGGTCCTGATATCTATTGGATAGGAGGCTTTCTGCGCCACATATCCTGTCTGTATGTGGTGGATAATAAAAATTGCTTGCTCTTGCCAGGAATCAAAGCCCAGTCTTTCAGCCCATAGCTGAGTTACTGTATTCTAGGATTTTGCTGCATTTTAACCGTTTTAGTCTCTAAATATGACTTTATTTACAAAAGAGGACTAATTTGTAACCATTTTATGATTTCCAGAGCAGTACAGTACAATGAGTAAACTAAATGTTGAGTTCATATTGTGGTCATCTGGGTTCAGTAGATTTTGTTATGTATATGGCAGTACTCTTGTATGACCTGAGCACTGGTAGTTTGCGTGCTGACGTACATGTGCTTATGATGATGGTGAAACATCAAGACTCCTCCGCCTCTTTTAGATTGTTAGAGTGTGCTTAAGCAAATTGTTGCTATCTTTCAGCACCTGTAGTTTGTGACTGACGTGCTTGTGCCATTATTTATTTTCAGATTTTGTTCATTTCATTTTTTCTGTAAAATCTTTGAAACCTGGATTTGAACTCTTTCATCAAAACCCGAGCTTCAGTTTATATAATTTTCTGCATTTCAAGAATCAGATGTAGCTCTCATTTCTAGTTGCACACTGCTTCTTTAAACATGGAAATTATGTCCAGATAAGTGAAATGCATAAGGTTTCTTTTGAACTTGTTAAAAAGATTTCAGCTCATTGTTTCTGAAAAGGCAACAGTTATTTTACATGAAGAAAGCAGTCTGCTTGTACCGGTTCTCACGGTCTCTTCACTTGCGGATTTTCTTATTTTTTCTTCTACCCTGAAGATGGAGGCGATACGTTCTGTGGGCCAGAAGATTAGTATGAATGGGTACTCTGTTGAATATTCCTGTAGTGGGCCTTACAGTTTTCTAGCAAAACTTGCAGTAGTAGTTGTTTTTCATCAGGGATGGTTACTTCCTTTGTCAATATCACAGTATTATAGTAATTTGTGCTGTAGTGTTGCATATCCTCAGATGGAGCTTGGCCTACATAATCTAAGTGATCACCATTGCCGTCCCCATCATGCATTGAATTGAAGCAACATAAGCTGTGGTTTGACTAAGGATGTTCAAAACTATTAGATCAAAGGAAACTAACCAAATTGCAATGGTTACAGGATCTGAGCTAAATAAATGGGGATAACATGGATAAGCTAGCAGAAATTTTAGGAACAGGAGGAGAGAATATCTGGAAGATAAGATTAATGGAGTTGTAAGACACAGCGAGAACAAGACTGTTAGAGAGTTATATAGAGTAGTAAATGAATTTAAAAAGGGTAACCAACCTAGAACTAAGTAAAGGATGATAATTGGAATCTGCTTGCAGATTCCTACAATATTTTGAATAAATAGAAGAATTATTGAATGTTCCTATAGGGTTAATAATGTTAGGCAGATGGGAATACATACAGCTGAGTCATTAGAATCTAATCCCAGTCCTTTTGAGCTTGAAATTGCTACTGCATAGTTGAAAAAATATAAATCATGAGGTAGTGATCAAATTCCAGCAGAACTTATTCAAGCAGGAGGTGAAACGTTACATTCTGAGATATGAAAACTTGCTAGTATTATTTGGAATAATGAAGAGTTGCCTGAGGAGTGGATGGAGTCTACTATTGTACCAATTTACAAGAAGGGAATTAAGACTGACTGTAGTAATTATCAAGACATATTGCTGTTTTTAACTTCATACAGAATTTTATCCAATATCCTCCTGACATGGGGCTTACTGCTACTATGTTGTCTTGTGACAGCTTTGAAAATTTCATGGTGGCTGCTTGTGCACTTAAAGAAAAGACTATGATTCATTTAGGAGGAAGTATTATACAGAATTCGCATTGAGTTTGGGGTACCCATAAAATTGGTTAGGCTTATTAAAATGTGTTTAAATATAATGTGTAGTAAAGTCTGTACAGGTAAACTTCTGTCTTATACGTTTCCTATTCAGAATGGCCTGAAACAAGGAGATGCTTTATCCCTTGCTTTAGAATATGGTGTTAGGAAGGTCCAGGAAAACCAAGTGGGACTAAAATTAAATGGGATACATCAGGTTTTGGTGTATGCTGATGATGTAACATAGATACTGTGGCATGTAGATCTGTTACAAGGGAATGACTGTGAAATAAGCAGCTATGCAACAGCCGTTGCTAAGTAATGACTTTGTAGACAACGGCTGTTGCTAAGTAATGGCTGCAACAAATTCGTAACATGCCACAGTGGAGCAACATGAAAGTGGTGTTCTCTACACGGTCCGTGCAATAGCTGTGTGATGCAACAATATAACTGTTGGGAGAGGTGTTTTGTGTGATTTGTCCCAAAACTATATAATGAGGAGCAGCTATAATTATTAAAGAGTCTGCAAAAGGAAGAATTTTTGATAACATGTTATATGTGTGAAATATACACTTGATGAAAAGTCAAGTGTATTCATAAGAGACAAACCCATCTTCTTGTCGGAGAGGATGTTGCCTATTGACTATTACCGCAAGAGTTAATTTGGAAAAAATCTCTGGTCGTGTGTCTCAAGGGGCCTGACGCCAAGACGAACTGATTGGCGTAAACCGCCAGTAGTAAATTAACTCTCTCTAACTCTCTTATTAGAGTGTCTTGATACTGTAATGAGAAGAGTAGGAGGTTGATGTGAGATGGCCACCAGCATGGGAGGTAGTCAGTTGGAGCAGTGAGTTAGTTGTGAGACAGTTGCTGGCCAGTAAGGACGTGAACATGGAATCTGAGGAAGTTATGGCATTGGAAGCTGTTACCACGCAACAACCAGTGAAGATACAGCAGACTGAGAGGACTTTGTACGTGCTGTAGTGAAATGTAGAGTATGTGAATTAATGTTAACGCTATAGTTAATTTTAGTTACATTCTGTAAGAGTTCAGTCAATCCAATTACCGATCCAAATCCCATCTGTAGTCACTCAGTCTCGTGACAGTACCATAAAGAAAAGCACAGAAGCTCTGATTGACACTAGTAAGGTGGTGACCTAGAAGTAAACACAGAGAAAACAAAGTATAAGTCGCTGTCTTGTCACCAGACTGCAGAGCAAAATCGTGACACAGAGAGAGTTAATAGATCCTTTGGAAGTGTGGCGTACAAGTTAATGTTTCATGTGCTGGATCAAGAGCACTGAAAAATGGCATATGTTAACATATTTGCGTTAGTTCAGGGATAAGAATAGAATATTTTGTGTATAGTTTTGCACAATTATTTTTAGAGCAAAATAGACAAAAGTGTCATAGCTGAGGTGGTTAGTTGGTGGCTTTTCACTGTGGTGCCTTGGGTTCAGTCTCACATGACTGAAGTGAAATTCATGGTTGACAGAGTTTTTTTTTTCCTGAGGCCCTGCAGATTCACTTGCTAATCATCATTCAGCCATTGGTGCAGTAATCCTGATGAGGCAGCACATTATCACATCCATGGTCTTCAGTTTGGGGTCTTCACTTATGACCCATCACTTAACTGGTTGCAGGATAAGGAACTTGAATTTTTTTTAGTGTAAGAAAGTAATCTTGTTTCATTGTCTTTACTATTTCACATGACTTTCAGGTTCTGTGGTTTGAAAACGAATCACCTATCAGAGTTTTGAATTGGATAAATCCTGTTTTCATGTGATATTGGTCAAATATACATTTTAATTCCTGCTCAGAATCATCACTTTAACACATTGCGGACCGGTTGTTTAAATATTTAAATCACCCTGGGGACCGGGGTTTTTAAGCCTAGCACCCTAACTTGTGCACTGTTCACTTTAAAAATTAATATAAAATCTCCTAATTAATTTTATGAACTAAAATTTTTGGAGAACACTTACCAGAGCTCCTAGAAGTTCTTGCGCATGTGATATCTCTGGAAACAGTCCCCTTTGTGAAGAGGCATCATGCAGAAGTTGCAGATGTACGCAGTCCTACTCTTCTTGTGGACTGCGCGCACACAGCACTGCCTAGAAGGGTATTTCTTCTTGTAATGTTCACTCTTCACAATTCTCACGAGGGTATGTTTCCGCATATCACCCGAGAGTCGTCCATGGGGGTCCACATGAGGCCTCTGGTGGTTGCGAACAGATGGCCCCGGCTGCACTACGTCTGTGTCTGATGCAGGTACTGCCACCACCCGAGAGTCGTCCGATGGCATCCGCTTCACCCCCGGATCACCAGTAAACCTACCCAAAGTGGGGGCTTTCTCCACTTTACCCCATGTGGCTGTCCCGGTACTTGCACTTTCATCGGAGCTCTCACTTTCACTGGACACAGGGCCCCTGTCACAGTCACTTTCACTGAGGCTGGCCTTGCTATCAGAAGACGAAGCAGTTGGCAAATCTGATAGCTCATCGGAGAACAAATCTAATATTTCTTGTTCTCCGAGAGAACGCTTCGCCTGCAACTGCTTTCGTCTCTGATCCATGTTGCACTGCTAACTTCCTGGTTCATACGTGGAAGCTTGGACTTGAACAAAGGCTTTTTTCTTTAGGGTGTGACAGGAAATGAGCGTGATCATGTTATTGGCTAAGCTAGCAAACATTCCTGAGGTCAGCTACGCAGTAGTTATGATGCAACGTGGCCACACAGCGAGATATAGCCGGTTGCAACATGACGCGTCAGAAAAGTGCCAATTGGCCCACCTGGTCCGCAACGCTATAGAAATGTAGAGGGCCAATTGGCCCCTCCGGTCCTGAATGTGTTAATAAGTCGTCATCCTTGCAACATTATTGGAGGTCACCTGTGCTATTTAGACTCTTAATATTCCAAGCACTAATACTCATACTCTTTGAAGGTTATGCCAAAAAATTAATGATATATTGAAGCCTTTTATAATTGTGGGTTGTAGGGAAAGTGTTTTACTATGAAGGGTTTCAACCCAGTTTAAGCATGTCAACATGACTATTCCTGGAGACCATCTCCTCCATCTGCATCCCACACGTGACTGTGCCATGTACATCAAGTGCCAGGAGCTAGATAAGAAAAATAATATGAAATTAGAGTATTCTTTAAGTTTCTGCAGATCAGTTTCTGTTGAAGTTGGAAATGTTGACTTGGTAGTATGATTGTTCCATTTATGCTTATAATGAGCTATTTTAGTAATTATACTCTTTTTATATTGTCCAGAAAGTTGAATTACTCTTGCATTGAGGTTCAGAAAGTTACTGTTATATATTTTATTATTGCAGGTTCAGGCATGCAAAGCATGTCAGCGTCATCTGTTACAACAGTGGCATGTATATGCAGCACAGGGAGTTCCTCATTCAGAACGTAATTATGCTTTAAGAAAGAGGCCAGCTCCTGCCCTTGATACCACAACATTCATTTGCTACACGTGTGCTCTCGAGTATCCTTCATCTTCAATTCGGTTGCTCTACTGCTGCCCAAATTCAGAAAAGGAACCTTATTTCCCAAACATTGGCACACTGCAGCGCCCACCAGGGGCTCTTCCTATCTCCCCCCAAGGAGTAGTCCAGGTATATTTCAGTTTATTTCATACATTGGTAAAATAGTTTAATTTCAGTTGTACTTAACTTATTAGACGCTTTCTGTGGAATGGGTGAAAATTGTGTATGAAGTTTCCTGGAAGATTTTAAAGGAAGATACCACTTGAAGAAACTAAGTCATTGGTGATATAATAATATGAAAGTTTATTTCAGAAATATGTTTTGGGGGAATGGACTGGTTGGGCTGGTTTCAGCTGATTCAGGACAGTGTTATGCAGTAGGCTTGTGTGAATGTAGTAAAGAAGCTCTGGGTTTAATTCATGTTTCTAGCGCTAAACCATACCTTAACACTTCGTGGACTGGTGATTTAAATATTTAAATCACCCTGGGGACCGACGTTTTTAAACCTTCTACCCTAGTTAGTTAGTTAGTTAGTTAGTTATTGGAGAGGGTGGGTTTCCCCATGCACTTAGACCATTATTGGTCCATTGTGTTTCCCTCTGTGATATACCTACTACCCTAACTTGTGCACTGTTCACTTTAAAAATTAATATAAAATCTCCTAATTAATTTTATGAACTAAAATTTTTGGAGAAGACTTACCAGAGCTCCTAGAAGTGCTTCAGAGTGTGATATTTCTGGAAACATTCCCCTCTGCCAAAAATGGGAATTTCTAAAAATGGATCAGTGTACCAATAGTCTTTCAAATTATCCCTCTTTGTAAACCCCATTAGAATGATTATTGTGAAAAATTTTTTCATTTCTGCTGAAGTGACATCCACCCACTTCAACACCTTATAGGTACTGTCGTACGCCTCACGGTGTTGGAGATAGTATCTGTTGGTCTCCTAACACAACATGTCAAAGAAATTATCTCCAAAAAACAGTTCAGCTACTTCAGACACTTGCGTAGGGTCCGATGGCATTTGTCTCACCCCTGGATCACCAGTAAACTTTGCCAAAGTGGGTGTTTTGTCCACTTTACCCCACCTGGCTGTCCCCGCAATGCTAGCACTCGCACTTTCATTGGAGCTCTCACTGTCACTTTCACTTTCTCTTCTGGTCACAATATTTTGGGGGCCCCTGTCACTGCCACTGACACTACCCTTGCTATCAGAAGACGAAGCAGTTGGCAAGTCAGATAACTCATCGGAGATCAAATCACAGATTTCTTCTTCTCCGAGAGCTCGCCTTCAACTGC